GACTTACCTGTAGTATATGGATGTTGAGGACAGACTAACCTGTTCTATATAGATGTTGAGGAGGGACTTACCTGTAGTATATAGATGTTGAGGACAGACTTACCTGTAGTATACAGATGTTGAGGAGGGACTTACCTGTAGTGTATTGATGTTGAAGACAGACTTACCTGTAGTATACAGATGATGAGGACAGAATTACCTGTAGTATATTGATGTTGAGGACATACTTACCTGTAGTATACAGATGTTGAGGAAGGACTTACCTGTAGTATATGGATGTTGAGGACAGACTTACCTTTAGTATACGGATGTTGAGGACAGAATTACCTGTAGTATATTGATGTTGAGGACATACTTACCTGTTGTATACAGATGTTGAGGAAGGACTTACCTGTAGTATATGGATGTTGAGGATAGACTTACCTGTAGTATATGGATATTGAGGACAGACTTACCTGTAGTATAAAGTTATTGATAACAGTCTTATCTGTGCTATATAGATTTTGAGGACAGACTTACCTGTACTATATAGATGTTGAGGACAGACTTACCTGTATTATATGGATGTTGTGGAGGGACTTACCTGTACTATATATATGTTGAGGACAGACTTACATGTTCTATATAGATGTTGAGGACAGACTTACCTGTTCTATATAGATGTTGAGGACAGACTTACCTGTAGTAAATGGATGTTGTGGAGGGACTAACCTCTACTATATATATGTTGAGGATAGACTTACATGTTCTATATAGATGTTGAGGACAGACTTACCTGTAGTAAATGGATGATGCGGATGGACTTACCTGTAGTATACGGATGTTGAGGACAGACTAACCTGTTCTATATAGATGTTAAGGAGGGACTTACCTGTAGTATATAGATGTTGAGGACAGACTTACATGTAGTATACAGATGTTGAGGAGGGACTTTCCTGTAGTGTATTGATGTTGAGGACAGAGTTACCTGTAGTATATTGATGTTGAGGACATACTTGCCTGTAGTATACAGATGTTGAGGAAGGACTTACCTGTAGTATATGGATGTTGAGGACAGACTTACCTGTAGTATATGGATATTGAGGACAGACTTACCTGTAGTATATAGTTATTGATAACAGTCATGAATCCATTCCTTAGTCACGGTGACATGGCTTACCTGTACTATATAGATGTTGAGGACAGAATTTCCTATAGTATATGGATGTTGTGGAGGGACTTACCTTTACTACATATATGTTGAGGACAGACTTACATGTTCTTTATAGATGCATGGTGAGGATAGACTTACCTGTACTATATAGATGTTTAGGACAGACTTACCTGTAGTACACGGATGGCCTGGTCCAGGACAGACTTAGTGTCTGTGTTGTAATCAGATGAGGGAAGTGAGAGTTGACTGAAGTGGGCCTGTAGAAGGAGACAAGCCTTGGTGTGGGAGGACTCGTAGGAATGGGGATTAACTGCCAGCGGCACCTTGGTCGCCAGTTCACTATGGAAACAAACAAAACAATATTTCAGATTACTTAAGACTGGTGTACATTTTCAACAAGAGGCAAAGAGGGCCTGTATCGCTCACCTTAATATTTAACGAGTCATAGCAAAGTATTCTTATTAAATATTATACTGTGCTACAAATATATCACCCGTTAACTTTGTCGGCACCATCTGTTGAAACTACGTACCAGCCAAATATTATTATATGATTCTATGCTTTTTGGTTCTTCTTCAGATTGTTTGACATATTTTCCCCTGTGACTTTGTGAGTAGGTCAATGTCATTTTCCCTTCAAACTTTGTTGGCTCTATCCCAAGAAGCTACCAGCCAAATCTTATGAATCCATTCCTTTAGGTTCTTCAAAACAAATCTTTTGAAATGTTTTTTACGTTTGATCTGTGACCTTGTAAGTAGGTTGAGTTCATTTTTATTTGCAAACTTTGGTGAGCTCTATCGCCAGAAGTCACCAGTCAAATATTATGATTCTATGCCTTTCCATTATTCAGAAGAAGTCGTGACCCTGAAAGTAGGTCAAAGTCATTTTCATTTGCAAACTTTGTCATGCTGAATCTCAAAAAGTTACCAGCCAAATATGAAGATTCGATACCTTTAAGTTCCTCAGAAAAAGTCGCTTGAAGTGTTTGACATATCTGACCCTTGTGACCTTAAAAAAAGGTCAGGGTAATTTTTACTCGCAAACTTTGTCAGGATCCACCCCAAGAAGCTACCAGCCAAAACTTAGGATTGTATACCTTTCACTTCTTAGGAAGAAGTGTTTTACAAATTTGAATCCTGTGACCTTGAAAGTAGGTCAAGGTCATTTTCATTTTCAAACTTTGTCTGGCCCCTACCAACGAAGCTTTCAGCCAAATATCCTGACTCTAGGCCGGTCAGTTCTTCAGAAGAAGTTGTTTATAAGAGAAGTTGACGGACGAAGACGGGCGTACGGATGACGGACCAACAACGGAAGCCGCACCATGACATAAGCTCACTTGCCTTTCAGGCATGTGAGCTAATAAAAAAATTGACATTTTATTTTGCACACTTATTTTTTTATTGTCATGAGTTCCTCAATTATGATATTTTGAAATCATGTCAAGTCATTTCTTCTTGCAAACTTTGTGGCTCTACCTATAAGCATGCTCTTAGCCAAATATAACCGAAACTGTTAGCCAATGTCTAACCAATACTCCCGTCCAATAAAAACCATAACTGTAAGCTGAAAGCTAATGCTAGTTTCCCACTATCACGATTCGCAGCACGATTGAAATTATTGTCTTAATCGTGGACTAAACATGGTGATTCTATCAGATCTTAAGGTCAGTCGTGGCAATCATGTTAATGGTAGAAACTTTTTGAACGGTTCAAAATCAGATTGCAATTGTATCGCATCGTAACAAAGTGCGACAGATTGCATCTAATCGTGCTTCCAAATCGTGGTGATCGCGATCGATCTTAGACAAGACAAACACCACACTCTGTTGAGATGTGTTGTAAACTCCCACGTTCTGTTACGCTCTGTCAGGTCCCATTGCTCAAGACCTGACACGAATGACTAACAAGCAGATAGGAGTTGATACGAGAAGATGCAAGTAAATGCAGGTAGATATAATTTTTGATAGTTACGTTTTACACAAACGCTTACAATCTGTAACGATTCGATTGGACTCGATTGAAACAATCCCATCAAAACAAACATCCGAGCGCAACAAATCGTATCAGAACGTATCGACTCGCAACACCTCGTATCTAAACCTGAAATTTCATAAAAATTCAACGATCAGCTACGAATGGCCTGTCGTGGTGTTCATAACGGATCATACGACAGTGGGAACCTAGCATAACTAAGACAAAGTGTTGCAAAGCAATCCATAGTCCCCCCACCAGTAATGATCGACTTCTTTGTTTACAGAGCTGTACACCTAATTTAGTATATAGGTCNTACCTGTTACGCTCTGTAGGTTCCCATTGCTCAAGACCTGACACGATTGACTCACAAGCAGATAGGAGTTAATACGAGAAGATGCAAGTAAATGCAAGTAGATATAACTTTTGATTGTTACGTTTTACACAAACGCTCACAATCTGTTACGATTTGATTGGACTCGATTGAAACAATCCTTGCAAAACAACGGGAGATCAGACCGTGACAGATCGTGACACCTGAAAATGACAAATCATGATCATGACCAGGTCGCATCCGAGCGCAACAAATTGTATCAGAACGTATCGACTCGCAACACCTCGTATCCAAACTTGAATTTCAGAGAAATTCAACGATCAGCTACGAATGGCCAGTCGTGGTGTTCGTAACGGATCATACGACAGTGGGAACCTAGCATAACTAAGACAAAGTGTTGCAAAGCAATCCATAGTCCCCCACCAGTAATGACTTCTTTGTTTACAGAGCTGTACACCTAATTTAGTATATAGGTCACAGCGACATACTTCCTGTACTCCCTCCTTATGCCAAATCATACTTGCATACCAAATCATGTTAGCAAAGATGAAATCGGCCTAGTAGGAAAGGAAGAATTGTTCGGAAAAGGATTTTCAAAGAATTACCAGCTGTAATTCCGTAAAAATGGTCGGAATGAAAAAAATACTACCTAGTTGCATGAAGTCAGGGGGTAATTACCTTATCTGTAAACTTTCATTCAAATTGGCAAAGTAGTGTAGGAGAAGGATGAAGCTTTTATCAACAAAGGGGCATTACTTCATAAAAAAAGGGTCAAAATGAAAGATTATTACTGGGATGCACAACGTCAGAAGGGTAGATACCATATCTTGAAACTTTTTTTGAAATTGGCTATGTAGTATAGAAGTTGTCGGGACAAGAATTTTTCAACAAAGGGCCTTAACTCCATAAAAAGGGTAGAAAAAAAAACAACCTTCATGCGCAACTTTAGTTGGTAGTTATCATATACGGAAATTTTCATTGAAATCGATGCGTTTCTTTAGAAGGAGCTGTCACGACAAAAATGTACAGGGTTTTTCAATAAAGGGCCAAACGTAAAAATGAGTCAAATGAAAAAATAAAACCTGGATGCACACCTTCAGGTGGTAGTTATAATATCTGGAAACTTTCGTTGAAATCACTATTTATTCATTTAGCCCCTGTGACCTTGAAAGGAGGGCAAGTTGCTTTTTCCGTAGATACAAAAGAGTTTGCAAGTTGTAAAATGATGATTAAAACATTTTGAACAAAAATAAAAGTGATAATTTAATTCATATTTGAAATATCTAGAAAACTATCCCCTAAAAATACAAAGAATTCCAGTAGATGAATATTGTACACATGCTGGGAAAGTGTTTAATATAAAGGCAATCTTTTGATAAGTTTGTACATTTTTCAGTTGGATTGGATTAGCCTGAGGCAAAACAAAGAGTACCTACTTTGTTATAATACCATATATATGCAGCTAATCCATATCTGGTAATAGGTCCACCTATATCTATTGCAACTCATCAAAACCCCCAACAAATGCTATTTCATTGTCCTGTTATAAGCCAAGCACCCTATTTTGAGTAGGTGATTGGTGCCCTGGGATCATTTAGGATAAATTCAAGGTACGGATGCTGACAAAATAGCCATACTTTAAAGGTGCAAAACACAGATACATTTTAAATATACATCATGAATGACATTAACATAGATGTTCTGATGGATTTTAATCCTACACCTAGTACAACCACCACAAAAACTATAAAATTTCTTCTCCCCTGGTGTTTAAAGAGTGACTGTAAAATCTGTTTTATGATTTACCTTTATGTGTTATCCATCTCCGGAAAACACCACGATAAAATAAAATGTATCGGCACAGAACTATTTTTGTACAATCTTGGACTGGAGAGCTTTTAACACACCCTATATCTTTGATGGGTTCTATATCCATTGCAATCTTACAGACTTCTACAGATGATGAAAAAGCACACACAAAAACACCCACCTAACAAATCTGTGATATTATCAGCGTGACAATATTAATTTGTGTAATCTATGTTATATTATGTAACAAACTACACATATTTTCCACTCAATAATCCACAATTGTTGAATGGGAAGTTTTGATCATGCCAAACGCTTGTTTTCTTCATTATACCTTAGTATTTCAAGTTTCAGAAAAATATTTAGAATTTTGCGTTTAAGCTACATGTACCTGATGGAGAATATTGTTAGGTTGTAGGTGTTTTGTATGTCTGTTTTACCTACTGTCGGTCCTGTTAATACTTGGCAGTGAAGTTACTAGAATTGTTACCTATACTTTATACCTCACGGTGCCAGGACTGTTACCAACTTGTTTCTTACATCACTGTGTTGTATTTACTGTTTAACTGTCCCGTTAATATTTGGCAGTGTAGGTGCCAGGACCGCTATTTCTTACACTTCATGTGTCTGTGAATTTTTATACCATGTCCTGTTAATACCTGGCCGTGTCGGTCCTAGAACAGTTACGTACCTACACAATATTTTGCTGTGTCAGAAGTTTACCTGTTAATCTGGTCCTCGTTGTGTCGCACAGGAAGTTGGGCATATTCCTCTGCACTCTGTAAGTAAAATCGGACCAAATGTAAAACATTTGAATACATATTACAGTTATGGCTAGTATGTGACATAAAGGATATAAGTGCTGTTTAAAACATACCAGGTAAGTTCATAGTCAAAAACGCTAAAGTATGTGTACATTTCAAATTCCAAATTATTACATGTATCTAAATAAGATTTTATTAGTTGAAGCTTATTATAGAAAAAAAGTGTACATTTCTTTTAAGACCTGATAATGATTTTTGTGGATGTCTCAAGTTGAATGATTCCATACTGAGTTGTGTACATGTCTAAAGTATGTTAAGGTATCTCTACAGAGTTCAATTTAGTCTTGAATTGATGAATCTGATATGTTCATTATGTGCAGCTCAATTAACACTTAAGTGTGACTATTAGAGTATGGATTTGGGAATAAGAGTATGGATTTGGGAATTAGAGTATGGATTTGGGAATTAGAGTATGGTTTTGGGAATTAGCTAGAGTATGGTTTTGGGGATTAGAGTATGGATTTGGGGATTAGAATATGGATTTGGGGATTAGAGTATGGAATTGGGAATTAGAGTATGAATTTGGGGATTAGAGTATGGCTTTGGAAATTAGCTAGAGTATGGTTTTGGGGATTAGAGTATTGATTTGGGGATTAGAATATGGATTTGGGGATTAGAGTATGGATTTGGGAATTAGAGTATGGATTTGGGGATTAGAGTATGGTTTTGGAAATTAGAGTATGGTTTTAGGAATTAGAGTATGGATTTGGGGATTAGAGTATGGATTTGGGGATTTAAGAGTATGGTTTTGGGGATAAGAGTATGGATTTGGGGATAAGAGTATGGTTTTGGGAATTAGAGTATGGATTTGGGGATTAGAGTATGGTTTTGGGTAAAGCATGTCTGATGAAGATAACATTGTCATTGAGGTCAGGACTCCCGGCCTCCCCTTTTTGCATTGTATTTAGGAGCTCAGAGATAATGTGACTTATGGGAAGAATTTCAACGAGTTCATGGCTGGTTTGAATAATGGAAAGTATATTTAGAATGTCAGGGTGTGAATTATTGAGAATATTTCTATGTGTTCTGTGATGGTGTGACTTTTTAAAGGAGAGAATTTTTATAATTTCTGGGATGGTGTGACTTACGGAGAGAACTTCTACGAGATCCTCGATCGTGCACTCAGCATTCAGAGAATGGCGGAACTTGCGTACAGAGTTGTGGTTGAGATAGTAGTAGGAGGAAATACGCCCCAGAGTCTGGGGACGAATGGCCTTGTTATCCTGGAAACACAAACTTCACAGTAATAAACTGCTTAGACATATTTATAGAATTATCTTCTTAACAACAATGCAATTCACAAAATGGTATTGAAAATGATAGCAAATTCATCCTCTGGTAGTAAAATAAGGTGTTATTATATTGATCTATTTCTGAATCAAAATGCATTTATTTTTTATTTTGAAATTTTCTTCAGGTAAGTTAAGAAAGTTGCTCAGATTATAAAAGTGATAATTAAGTGACCCAGACCTAAATTTCTATTAATAGTAATGGTGACCTTCACCTTGACACCTGAAACACACACTTGTTTGAAGTTTTCTTAATTGGTTATAAGAAGCTTGATCAAAATCCATTCAAAATTAGATCGATGAAAAGTATTTTCTATCAATAGTCATGGTGAACTTGACCTTGGTTAAAACACACTGAAACACAACCTGTTTCCAGGTATTCTCATATTTTTGTATGAAGTTTTAATCAAATCTGTTCAGATATATAAAAGCTACACTGATTACAATTATTTTCTATAAATAGTAACGGTGACATGGACCTTGTCTGTAATACCCTAAAACACAAAACATTTCTATAAATAGTAATGGTGACATAGACCTTGTCTGTAATACCCTAAAACACAAAACATTTCTATAAATAGTCACGGTGACATGGACCTTGTCTGTAATACCCTAAAACACAAAACATTTCTATAAATAGTAACGGTGACATGGACCTTGTCTGTAATACCCTAAAACACAAGACATTTCCGATTGTACTCACTGTATCAAGTTTAAGTAATATCTGTTAAACATTGAAGTTGTTAGCTATACAGTGAACATAGTGTGAGCCTACCAGAAATTATAACTTCCACCAATGGCCTTGACCTTTGATCTAATACCTTGAACTTGATTAGGGTTCATCTTCTTGCCATTCATTATCATTGTACCAAGTTTGGATGAGATATAGAATACCAGCCTATGGTGACTACAAGATTAAAACCCATATGGAGGAACATGTGACTATATCTCCCTGCAAGGGGAATATAATTAAAGCACTGCATTTTACCATTAATAAACCCATACTCAGTAATCTATCCACCTTTTGGTAAAGATTCTATATACCCATTTGGTAAAAGTTTGCACTTTCTATTCAAACTTTTTGCTATATAGCCTTTCTAGCACAATGACAACCTAGCTGTTTCCAGAAATTCCATACTTGCTATGGCCTCCCAAACACAATGACCCTAGCTGTCCCAAAACTTCTGTTCATGCTATGGCCTCCCAAACACAATGACCCTAGTTGTTTCCAGAAACTCCATACTTGCTATGGCCTCCCAAACACAATGACCCTAGTTGTTTCCAGAAATTCCATACTTGCTATGGCCTCCCAAACACAATGACCCTAGCTGTTTCCAGAACTTCTGTTCTTGCTATGGCCTCCCAAACACAATGACAACCTAGCTGTTTCCAGAACTTCTGTTCTTGCTATGGCCTCCCAAATACAATGACAACCTAACTGTTTCCAGAACTTCTGTTCTTGCTATGGCCTCCCAAATACAATGACCCTAGCTGTTTCCAGAACTTCTGTTCTTGCTATGGCCTCCCAAATACAATGACCCTAGCTGTTTCCAGAACTTCTGTTCTTGCTTTGGCCTTCCAAACACAATGACAACCTAACTGTTTCCAGAACTTCTGTTCTTGCTATGGCCTCCCAAATACAATGACAACCTATCTGTTTCCAGAACTTCTGTTCTTGCTATGGCCTCCCAAACACAATGACAACCTAACTGTTTCCAGAATTTCTATTCTTGCTATGGCCTCCCAAATGCAATGACAACCTATCTGTTTCAAGAACTTCTGTTCTTGCTATGGCCTCCTAAATACAATGACCCTAGTTGTTTCAAGAACTTCTGTTCTTGCTATGGCCTCCCAAACACAATGAACCTAGCTGTTCCAAAACTTCTGTTCGTGATATGGCCTCCCAAATACAATGACAACCTATCTGTTTCCAGAACTTCTGTTCTTGTTATGGCCTCCGAAACACAATGACAACCTAACTGTTTTCAGAACTTCTGTTCTTGCTATGGCCTCCCAAATACAATGACAACCTAGCTGTTTCCAGAACTTCTGTTCTTGCTATGGCCTCCCAAATACAATGACAACCTATCTGTTTCCAGAACTTCTGTTCTTGCTATGGCCTCCCAAACACAATGACAACCTATCTGTTTCCAGAATTTCTGTTCTTGCTATGGCCTCCCAAATGCAATGACAACCTATCTGTTTCCAGAACTTCTGTTCTTGCTATGGCCTCCCAAACACAATGACAACCTAACTGTTTCCAAAATCTCTGTTCTTGCTATGGCCTCCCAAACACGATGACCCTAGCTGTTTCCAGAAATTCCATACCTGCTATGGTCTCCACATCACAATGGCCACCTATAGCTGTTCCAGCAATTTTTCAATATTCAATATGATCCGTTTCTCTTCTGCTTTTTACTTACTCTCAATGCCAGTTAATCTAGTGTATATTTTACAAGTTAAATTTAACTATTTAGTTGACAAATATTGCTTTTAAAAAATACTTTGCACATTTTATTGGCTTAATAATTAGCTAAAAAAAAATTAAAAAAAATCAATCTATATCATTTCATCACTTCAAGTCTGGAAAATGTGCATAATGTGAGGAAACAAAGAATATCATCAATAATTGCCTGTACATACCTCGCCAATCTCCAAACAGTAGGAAGACTCCAGTTCAAACAGTGCCTTCTCCACCAGGCCAGACAGGAACTTGTTGATACTGTCATAGTCTGTGTCGTCAAGGTTGTAGTAACTGTAATGACAAAACCAAACAAGACCACTCCAGCATCAACAAGATCAGGAACATTATCGTCAGCAAAACAATAAAAACCAGCTATATTAACTTAACAAAATGCAACATCAGCAATGACAAGATGATGACCATTTGTTTTGATTTAGATTCAAGAATGACTTCAGCTGCTAGCGCTGTACTGTTAAAAAAAAAAAACAGGCTCTGAAACAAGAAATCTAAAGGGCCTGTATCACTCGTTTTATAATGGTGTTGACAAATACATAACAAGACATTTGAATCAACCCAAAAAAGCTAAATGTAGGCTTCAGTTTTTCTTGAAAAGGACCAATTTGAAGATTTTGACACAAATGACACCAGCGTCCTTGAATATTGGTCAAGGTCATTAATTCAAAAACATTTCATAGTCGTTCACCCAAGCAAGACAAGGTGATACACTTTTAAGTTTTAAAATCTGAAGATATCCTAGAAAAAACATTTTTACATGTAATTTCCATTAAGATAACCATGCATGCTTTGAACCTCTGGGTTCAGGCCTATAGAACTTGTTATGTCATGTAAGTATATATGCTTACAATTACAGTTCACAGTCATGTTCCTAAGTGTTATTAGATGATAGCTTCCTGTTTTCCGCACAATATATAGGTTTTTCCGTGTAATTTTTAAATATAACAGGATAACCCAGCGTGTTAACGACATCATCCATTGTGTTTGTTTGGCTGATAATTTCTAGCCATTCCTGGTGCATTACTTATAAAGCTAACTTGTCAATATGAGTAACAGCTATTCCTTGTACATCCTATATACACAGTAACGGGGCACTCCCTATCAGTACTTTTTATGAATTGATAAATGTGGTGAGTGTATTTTGGTGAATTCTACAACGTGAGTGATGTACCAACACTTATCATTGATCAATAACTGTGTCCAATTAATACATGCATGCCCACCACGGTGTCAAAATCTACCACAGTGATGCCTTATCAGTCAGGCATCAAATCATTCTGCTAGATTTTATATATAGTAGAGTAGATATGATCAATATTTGTCTGTAATTAGAAAACAATTGATTCAGGCATATCAGCTTATTTGAAGAAAAAAAAATCAACATTTTTTTAAATACTCTTTATATTATTCCACCATACACATTAATTTGTTTTGTCTGAAATTCTATAGATGTATTTATTTAAACTGTCTAGAACTTTAGCGTTAGATCAAATATTAATAGAATAATGCCTTTTAAGTTGATGGATTGGCGCTCTCACAATAATGCAATAGAAAACTACATGTTAATTAACGCAATCCCAATTTAGCACCAAATTCAAAGTGCGAACAAGTACTGACATTAGTATACCACTGAAATATGTGTGTTTACAGTACATCACCATGGTAAAAAATGTTTGAAAATAACTGACAAATGGAGTCCTGTGTTACATAAATTTGTATTGTGCAACATATTTGAATGTGAATAATATACATTTCACCATAAGACACTCACAACAGTTAATTAATTAGTAGGCTTTCTACAGTTCATTGTTGTTCATCATTTTTACATAACTCAGTTAGTTGATTTAAAATTTTAGGCAATTTTCATCTTTTTAAAATTGAAAATCAAGTCATTTAGAGAGTTGATAAACATCTCTTCCACATGCAGTGTCATACAATTCATACATCTATCACATTTTGTTGCCTCGTCCAAATGATTGAATAATATATTTCTATCTCAGTAGTTCTATCATACATGTTAAATTGAGGATTGCTTCCACTTGACAAATAGACTTGGTGCGTCATAAGTTGCTCTCACAAATGTACTTAAACTTGCGTAATATGACCTGAATTCCCCAAGTGTTCATTGGATTTTCCTTATTGAGTCAGTATCCGGAGATGATGATTTGGCCTTTGATATTTTGATGGATTTTGGTACTTATCAGACAACCTTTGGGTTACAATATATCAGACAGACAGTTTAAGGGTCTAATCTGATTTTTTGTGCGTCAATATATTGGTAAGACTTATCCATCTAATCTGACACCCTATGGATCATGGGCCACACAACATTGGCAAGGTTGACCTGTCTGATCTGACACCCTGTGGGCACAGGATATTGGTCAAATTAGACAAGATGTTGAAATACGCAGGCCTTATTTGGTACATTTCAAAAGAAATATAATAACAGTATCATGTTGGATTTGAAAAAAATGTTGGAATATTCAAAGGTCAGGTAATAGAGGTTTGAGTGATTTTTTCTTTTCTTTTTTCTTTATCAGATTGAAACGTGTTGAAAACAAGAGATCCCAGAGGGATCTTGGTGCCCACCTTTGTACCATCTTCATTAGTTCTTTGTCAGTTCGATCTTTTCTCTTCTTTCCTCTAATCTGTTTGATAGAGTCATGTTAACAGTAAATGCACCTTGAGGTAAATTTTGATCAAACTTAATACTGATGTGTATGAAAGCCATATAAAAGTGAGTTTGTCATTTCACATATTTACTAGTACAGTACTTAATGTGAAAGAAATAGAATCGATCATTGCAATATGAGAAAGATCTGTTTAGTTCTTCTTT